CCATTTTCCAACAAGTTACAATTATTATTGATATCGTTACAACTATGAATTATTGTTGATATATTGAATTTCTATCTACTTTCATGGTCAATACTACCCATAATAATTGTAACCGATACAACCTTTGACATATGCTCTTGAAGAGATAGGCTTTCCATTACATTTGCATCACCATATCATATTATCATTTTTTGTTTCTGTTAACCGGAGTCTGGGAGACTCCTAGGCTTCACCCGTAACATGTGGAAATCCATATTTTCTTGTTACTTAAGACGTCTACAATAGTCAACCATGATTGAAATCATAATTAAAAGACTCGAACCCTGATCCTTCAACTAACATGACGAATCTTCGAATAGTAGATTACCATGAATCGATTCATATAATTATATCATGTACTAGTATTATTACCCGTGCTAAAGCACGAGGATTGTTCTTCTGTTATATATATAAATTTTTTTTTTAAAATATTACTTTTATTTTACTGAAAGTAGATATGGCCATAAAATCTAAATACTAATCTCTAAATTATTTATAAGAAAACTATTAAAAAAATTCACAACTTTGAGAAACAAATCTATTGCAAAAGAAAATTTATTAAATAATGATAGATTATAATTTCTTTAAAAATGTTAAAAAAATATTTTTAAATCAAAAAAGAAACATTGAACTAGTTTGCAAATGTAAAGTTAAACAGAGTTCGAAAAAATAAAGATAATACAGATGGGTGCTAAAATTGATTCGTTGATCTTAGCAACCATTTGAACCTTCGCTTCAATTTTTATTTCAAAGTTCGCCAATTTTTTTCTATCATATGGAGTATCCAACATATCAGACGTGTTATGTTTATGTTCATTAGGAGTAGTGATAAGAGCATATGTTTTTTTTATGTATAAAAAAGCATTCACATATGAAAAGAATCAGAAACAATGTTTTTTTATATAAAGAAATATTACTTCTCTAACAAAAAGATTTTTAACTAAAAATGTTTTACTACCCAACTTATGTTTTTTTTTGTTAACAATCACTTAGGATATTAATGATAAAACATTTTTTGTTTGAAAAAACGAAAAGAGAAATGTTTAATGATATCGATGAACATTATTCAAATGAAAACACATAAATTAATTTAATACCAAATTATGATGGCAGCTCCAAAAGGACCAAAACACATGATATTGTTTATTCTTACAATGAAGTAGGCTAAACTTGGAAACTTAGGTCTACCATTTTAAAGTTGACCGTAAAATCTTTTGCACATTAGCTTCCAATAGACTGTACTATCTCAAGAAGTTTTTTTCCCCCTAAAATAGACAATGAAAAAGAATCATTAGCAATGATGATTGCTTGAATGAAAAAAGACAAAGACAAAAGCTAGAATATAGTATCAAAATAAGTTAATACCTCTTGCGAATAGTATGAGAAGAGAAGTTGTCTTGTGTTCCAGTCCACTTTTCCGATGACCTATCACACGTTTAAAAAATAGATGTATATATATATAGAGAAATATGAATTTGCTATTTCAGAATTGAAAAAGTGAATGACATCGGTTTACTCCATGTACCAAGATTCACGACACAATGGCACTTGTTTACGCTATGACATGTGTTTTCATTGATGAAGGACAATGGCATCGCCTCTCTCTCCCGTATCCTCAAACTTGAGTTACTCCAAATGGCATCATTGTGCTCCACCCTCACCTACATAGCAAATTTCACGTGGAACGAAGGTGATATCCTTGGCTCCACCGTCTTCTTTGTCTCTGTCGTAGTCTTCGTTTACCTCTCCGACACATTCCTCCTTCGCTTCCCCATTGATTCACTCCCCTCACTCGGTCCCGCAATCTCAAACCAATGAAAAAACTCACGAGAAGATTCTAGGCAAATCAGAGTTTCATCTCTTTGATTCATGACATGATTGCTTTGAAGATTCTAGGCAAATCGTAGACTTTAGGTATGGGTTGAGAGAATATAGATTTGAGAAAATGAGAATAAAAAAAGGAAAAAAAAAACGATG